TCTACCTTTGTTCTTGGCAAGTGACGATGCATGAGTTGTTATGTTTGGTTGTCATAATGCGATGTCCATCACCACTTCTTGCACCGCCATGCACCACTGCCTCACTGACACTGAAATAGACTGGCCCCTCACGGTTTGTTACATGGGCCCAGGCCGAATCAATTGGCTACAGCCAGAGATTAATTACACCAAGTATTTTGCAGCATCCACGGTCAGTTCCCGTAGAATCATACATAATATCAAGCCACAGCCAACTGAATTGGACATGGCTATTGTGTAACGATACACGAATGACATCATCTGATAAGAGTGCCCAACTGAAAATTATGGAGGCCTGGGGGATTCCACCTATCAAAAACATGTTTAGATTATGGGGTAGCAGAATTCCTGCCGATCAAGTAAGTTTGGCAGCTTTTGGAAATTGTTTTATGCAAAAAAAAATTGTTTATTTTGCTAAAACACTGGTCTACGGCAACACGCGTGGTGACCAGAAACCGGAGACTTTTTTGGCCTAAAGAAGAATACATGTAGTTTTATTAATTCAGACTAAAACAAGAACAGTTTTTATTTAATTAAACATGCAGCTAAGAATGTTGGTTGGAAAATATCTATCATCGTGGAGGCTCTTAGTGCAGATTTTACATACACATTCACATGTCATGAGCATTTTGTTAATGTTGGTCATAATATTTTTTACTGAATATTTGGCAATCTTTTCTTTGGTGTAGAGTGCATGCACATGCATTTTGTGAGCCCTTTTCTGAAATGTATGAGAAGTTTTGGGGAACCTTGGTCGGGTATGTGCCGTAGGGAACTCTCAAGGTCGTGTCATTAAATCATGCAGAATGGTGTTCGACTTGGCATGGTTCTGGGTAATTATCTGAATGAAGAATGCGCTTTTTTGAAAATGGGTTAACACTTGGTCTGTGGGATGTAAACGGCACACAAGGGTGTCACAAGGACTACTTTAGAAACATGAGATCTCATGGGCTTAGATCCATGCAACTGCATGTTGACAGACCTGTGCGAGTGTCATTTATTTTTACGTGTAAATGTGAATACAGTACATGCATGTAGGGGAAATGGGGGTGAGTTGGAACATCGGGTAAGTTGTATGCCATCGGCTCAACCATGTTTAAATGTATTCATTGTTCCACGCTTAATATCTTCATTGTACAGCGCATTGGAACATATCTCTATGAAATTTACGCTTTATAAATAGATAAATTATTATTATAAGTTGACACATTGAGATTTTCTTCCACAGCTAGCTTCAAATGAACGAAATGCTACCATCTAGAGGTTTCCCTCAGCAACACCTATCCACCATATTGCCTTTTGCACAAGTACCTCAACAGTTTCTCAATGGGGACAAGGAAGTTTCCTCTATTCACTTTGTGGTCAAATTTTGAGCAGTAGAAGTGTTTGTTCTTTTGAAGTTTATAGATAATAGTGACTAGTTTCTGAGTCATTGAGGGTGTATTGCTGAGCTACAAAATAACGTTAAAAAAGATGTGTTACCGTAATCCCTGCATGTAAGTGAGGCATTGCCTGCTGGGGCTAGTTGGAACCATAGAGCAAGGTTGGAACTTTCAGACTTTGGGGCTACTTGTAATGGGCATGTTGTTTCCAACAAAGCCCAAACACAAATGAAGTGCTCTGTGAATCACAGTTCCACTCTACGCCAATGTACATTACAGAAAGGAAGTGCCTCTTACATGTAGATAAAGGTTTCTAATCTATTTTCACATCCCTGTAGGCCTACTGTACTGCATATGATAAATGCAGAATTAGCGCTTGTACTTGTGTATATCTGTTGTACTTGTTCTATATTTAAATGAACTTGTTTCCTGTAGCATAGCAAGAAAAGGTCAGAGCACTGAAAGGCATGCGTTTCTTGTTGTTTAGCTAAAAAACTCAGAAGACTAAGGCTTGAAAAATGTGTTTTCTGTGCTTATTTTGTGTAACATAATACATACATAGCAAAGTCTATCATGCAACACCTTTACAAAAACACAGTAAAGAACTGAAAGCAGCCTATGGCAAAATGTGTTTCAGAAAGCTATCATAATAGGAGAAGACTGTGAAATTAATTTCCACTCAGTTGCATTGATTTTAATTAACTGATAAGTTTTGACAAGTGAGTGACATTTTTGGTTTTACATTTTTCGGCATTTCAGTAATATTTGAAAGACAATTTGACTTTCACTAGATTTCAAAACAAATTCTCTGCGGGGACGAGGCGCTTGTAACGTACCCCTACTGTTTCTTTTCAAAAAAGGAGTTTCTGTGGCCAAAGAACTTGTAGGATATTATGTAAATGTGGCCCAGGATCAACTTCCTAGATTTAGGAGCTCCCATCTGAGGGCAAAGTAGACAAAAATGTTATTGAAAAATTGTCCAAAGAGCCTGAGAAAATGGAGAGATGTCATTTGAAAAATGGCTGATACAGACTTGGGGATATTCACTTTCTTGGGGGGAGAGTTTGTTTTTGGTGGATAATTAAAAATCTAAATAGTCAACCTACTAAATTTTGAAAATCAATTTAAATCTAAGGGACATGACAACTCCTGTTTGAGAGGCCTCAGGGACTTTGGTTGCTTGCAACAGGGCTCCTAACTTTGTTGATTTTACACTGTTTTCAATGGGGCTTCAATTAGTGCAGTGCACCCATGAGATTGGCCCAGCTCAAGGGCATATGATGGGAAGGACAAGGGTCATGGCCTTCCCATGCCCTTCCCACTAAACTAAAAAAAGTGATTAAAAAAAATATTGAAAGGAGAAGTGTTTGTGGAATATTACATCGTCCCTTCTACATGGTATAGAGCCATAAAAAGTCATGTGAAATATTCTCTTATACATGTATTTGGCTGAACCCCCTCCCCCCAAAAAACAGGTTTGGTCCCTCCCCCCTCCAAAAACCCAGCTACATGTAGCTTGGAAGTTCCATGCGAGATATGGAATCAGTTTTGCACCACAGCTTAAGTGTCTTACATAAAATCTAATTTTTGTAAAGTCCCTGGGATTCTTTGAACATTAAAAAGACAAGAACAAAAATTCAAACGCTACCAGATTTGAAGCAAGCAAGCCTTGGTCAGTGCTTAAATGGCCTGGTGTCCATTGCTTGCATTTTACCATAGTTCTCACATGTGTACATGATTCCAAAGTGACTAATGCAGTGCTGTGCAAATGTACATGTACAATGCTAACCTAACATATGTACATGTACCTAAGTAGTGTGGACTTGTAAACAAAAGATGTCCACACGATGCAGCCAGGGAAAATGTTCTGTTGACTTACCCATACCCACAGGACGTTTCCCCTTCTTTGAAAGAGAAGTTTAGAGGCATTGAGGATTAGGGAGCATCCCATAATTTAGAACGGTCAGAACGTTCCCATTGGAATGCCGTGATCTCATTCCAGAACAGTCGGTCGTGCGGAACACTGTGTTACTTTGCGAAAACGGTCTCACGGGGACACATGTTCGTTTTCAAAGCCATGATGAGGAAAAGGACGTGCAGTTACACTTGGCATTAAGAGTGGGATGCCGTTTGTGGGATTAAAATGTGTACATGGAATGCACTGTGGTTCAGTATGTTCTGGTTCTGAGGTCAATCTGTTGGTCAGAGAGTTCACAGGGGTGTGAGAATTCAGCTGATCTCAGCTTTTGGGGTTCAGATTTTGACTCCGAATTTCAGCTTTTTTGTGTGCCTGATCTGTTCAAATTTATGGGAACTTTTTAAAATTGCAGGATTTTTTGTGTGTGGCCACTCCCCCCCCCAGCTCATGTGGCCACAGAGAGGTTGTATGTAATCAGTTATATATAGCATGTATCTGAAGGAAGACATTTGCAGCAGTACTTCCTGAGTGGAGGTCACATGAGAGTAAGAAATGATAATCGGAAAAACAGATACATATATGTAGGTGGTCTGAGCTTGGAGATTTCTGAAGGCAAAGTTTGCATTTCGTTTTAGAGAGTCACTGGGCAGCTGATCCAATGGCTCCTTATAGTTACTGGACAAGAAACCAGTCAAACCACAGAATTTCCCCAACTAGACACAAATACATGCTTTGCATATGCCTGTCTTTTTTTTTTTTGCTATTGCACTGGTTGAATTCAGGATTGATGCCTGTGATAATTATGCAACCTTGCACAAAGATAAAACCCACGATGGACAATGCAATGTGGGTGTTGATAAAAGGTTTAATTTTTTTATTATCAACACCCAGGGGATTTGCTCCTCTTTATTCAGCTGAACAGTACTGGTTAAAGAATGACTAGACCATCCGACTTGTACATGCTGACATTAAAATTACTGGACTCTGTCCAGTGATCCAATGCCAAATTCGAACCCTGACAAAGCCAGTGAACATGTAGGGTGTTGGCAACCCTGTGACTTGTGAAATGTGATTCCTGCATAATATAATGTAGCAGATACATATATATGTGTTTGGTTCCACATGTGCTGGTCACACGTTGCTGTCATTCCATCGTTTGGTCATTTTTCCCCCTTCCCAAATGCAGAATCTTCTGGCCTTAAACCCACGAGTGCTGAAACATGCCAGTGTGGTCACTACCAAGACGACCAAGTCAAATCGTAAACATTGGAAACGCAACGGCCCCCAGTCTTGTGCGGTAAGCTTAGAGCCTAGAGCTTAGTCGAGTACTGCACCTACTGAGCACCAAGCTCATTGCCAAATATCGACCCAGACTTGGAAGGGACAAGCTACAGAACAATGGACATTTCATAGTAAATTCACAAAGATCAGTTTGCCATTTACTTACACAATGAATCACCAAAGAATAGGAAATATCAGACAATGAAAGAGCAACAGTTGTATTAGTTTCAGTAATACATGGAGTTTTCTGCCCAGAATGACGTCACAGTTTTTCTCATGAATATGGGAAAAGCATTCTTCATTAGCATAAAATGAAAAATGTTCAAAAATACATTGTACACATGTAAACAGCAACGCACAAAGTGAAAATAAAGTTAAATGAGGCACCAGGTTGTGTTTTCAAGGATTCTGCTTTTTCTTAAATTACATTGCTTGGATCCTTTCAAAAACTGATGGCCTGCAAGTGGATTTTAGGATTTCCCAAGAAATATTAAAATAATGATAAGCCCACTTTCATTCTTGGTTCGTGCATTTACAGACCTGTGGGGAGTTGGACAACAACTTTGATGACATTAAGCACACCACACTGAGCGAGAGGGCGGCACTGAAGGAGGCAGCCCGGTGCCTGAAATGCGCAGACGCTCCTTGCCAGAAGAGTTGTCCCACCCAGCTGGACATCAAAGCCTTTATCACCAGCATTGCCAACAAGGTGGTTGACACAGATAATTCATTTAAGGCCAAGTAGAAATAATAATATTGTAATAATTTTGTAAAATTCTCCATTTCAGTTTGACGTTTGTGATTTTTTTATCACCTAGCGTGTACATGAAGACTGTGAAAAGCTTGTTAACCAATTGCCAATGGTGTTATTTCATGCTGCACTCGTCCCTGGCACTGTTTTCTGCTCAAAAACACCCACATTCCTAAAACAAGAAGACACCACAACCACAGTCCTTTACAAAGTTTGGCATTACAAACGCTGACCCTCGGTGGTCATCTGATCAAGATTTGTGTACCATCTCTTACTGCATCTTTGCTCTTTAATTAATTAAAAATTCTGAAACTGTGTTGTCGCTTATTGATATCTGCTACAGCATGGAGCTGTGGCCCACAGCTGTTTGAGGTATTCACACACACACAATCTCCATGGATTAGATCTGGTCTCATTGTGTACATACTGAATTGGAATCACCAGACTGTGAAATCTCTGTGCTTTGGGGACTGCATGCACACACAAAGTTCATAAGAGAAGTATTATAGGTGTGCAGTTGTGAACATAATGTACATGTGTACTTGGTGCAGTGTTTTTCATCTGTGAGAAATCATTTATCTGATAACTGTGTCAAACTTCTTTGTCGGAGCCACACACAAGTACTTTTTTCACCCATGACTAGCTTTAGAATTGCATGTAGCAATATTAAACTAGCCATTGGTAGACAGAAAAAGTATGGTACTGTGCTGAGGTAATCTGTTGCAGTGAAGCAATGGGTGTGTTTCGCAGTTCCACTGGCTCGCAGCTGAGAATTAATAGACCAATTGTTGGCAGTTGTAGAACATTGTGGTAGTAACATGTCAGGAATATATTAGGCACAGTTGATATTGTGTCTTCGCTGATATCGTTTTTTTAATATCAATATATCTATATTTATTCATTTTAATTGTCATCTTAACTAACGTATCTCACGTCATCTGCTGATAAGCGTGAGAGCGGTTTTGGACTCTATATCCTACGGTACACCTTTCTAGTCACAGCTAAAAAAAGTGAACTTCATTTTTTGCACCAAAATGTCCCGGATAGAGCAACAGATGTCATTGTTAGTGGTTCTGCACTTTCTTTCTTAAATTTTGTACATATGAAATCGGAAATGTCCAATCAATCTTTGCTATTTTAGATATTATCAAGGAATTATGTTTTCCTTAGAGTGGCAATGCATATTTATGATTACGCAAATAATGGGGGGGTTTACAGATCGATGTTAATAGAGAGTACCAACTGCGATGAGGCTACGAATTAGAAAAAATATTCTATGTGCACCACGAGTGCATGCAATTAAAGTTTACGTGCACTTCCAAAAAGTTACATGCACCATTAATTTATGTAAGAAAAAAATCAGAGAGTAGAGCATAGTAACTGTATGTTACCCTGCAAGGTTACCTCATTGCAAGCTACATGTACCTGACAAGCTATCAAAAACTCAACCATGTAAACACATGATACAATAAACGTAGAGTATGCATGTACGTACTGTACATGTACATTTGACAACGCAACGGAAGCATACAACGCACATGCACTCTATAGGAGCTGGTGTCAATGCATCAATTGCTGTAACCCCTATGCTAGTCTTTCCTCAAGAGGTAAAGTTGACTACATACAAGTTAGCTGCATGTACATGTACATGTACGTGCACTGTGCCCGGTAATGCCAATGTTCTGTGCGGTTGTATTTAGTCTAAGTCCATGGTGACACTACTGAGTACAGAAGTAAATATGCCACACCCACAGTTATGTGTGTAAAAGGTAAATGACATTAGCGTGAGAACCAACATAATCTGTGGCTTATCGAAAATTATGGTAATGTCATGACACACTTTTGTACTTTAATAAAATTTGTTCCTTATTAGCGATGTTTTCGGTATATTTTTCAATAACGATGTATTCAAAGTTTTGATATTTCTCGAAAATCCGATATTTTTGATATATCGATATATCCAAATACCTAACATCAGCGATATCAATATCAAACCCATATCGATATACCAATATATCGACAGTGCTTAGAATGTATATGAGAGTACTGGTATGAGTCAGGGTTTCAATTTCCCTGCCTATTCAACTGTGAGCCAGCCCACCTCACTGATTTTATTAGTGACCACCTCCAGGCATTCCTGTTGGATTTTACCACCTTCTACAAAGAATGGACAAACAGGGAAGGAAAAAGCAAAATAATTGCGACACTTTAAAACGGACCAGTTTCAGATCATTCAGAATACAAGATTGTTTTTTTTAGAGGGAAATTTATAGCATGTGGAATAAATGACTGACTATAACTGGTACATAGAATTTATTTTAGGCCTTTTGGAAAACACTCGCTTTTGTTTTAGAGGAAAGAATTTTGGAAAAATTTGTTTGACCACCTCAAACCAATGCTGTATCAACATGGCAAGCTGACCTTTGACAAGTTTGGCACTGGTACCAGTATGTGCATTAACTGGCTGTAAAGATTGAATCCTGCTGTTGCGTCCTTGTTTGTGTATAAACCCGTGAAAAGATCAGGATTTGAATATCGTTTTTAAATCAAAATGTTTGCCGACTCTTTTCAAAGTACCATCTGTCGGAACGAGGATTAAGTTGTGTAGTAATTTAATTTATGATGTAGTGCTTTGTACTTAAATACATACATGTACATTACAACATGTTGTTGATGTGCGATTTTGTCATAAAGTAAGGCACACATTTTTATATAAGTTGGTGCTCGGATGTATTTTCTGTGGTCTCAAGAAAAACAGATAAGGGTCTTCAAGTCAGAAAAAGAAAGAAAAAAAAGAGGTATCCCTTACCACAGGTGTTAGCTGCCGAGGATTGAAGCACACAAAATTGAAATCGGGGACTTCGCTATCAGTCACATAGTGGAACAAAAAATATTTGGGGGGACATTTACAATGTATATTGGTAAATTGTTGGTTGGGTGATCCAAGACTTCTTAGAATGAAAAATTTTATGTCTTTTCCAGTTCTGAATCCGGTAGGTCGGCAGATCCGGGCACCAATTAAAAAAAACCTTTTGTAAAAATATACAGGTGCACATGCATATTGACACTGTACATTGTAAAAATATGCTGGTGCACATGCATAGTGACTCTGTGAAAATGTACAAGTGGACATGCATATTAAAACCACACTGTACATTGTAACAATATACTGGTGCACATGCATATTGACACTGTATATTCTAAAAACATACACGTGCACATGCATATTGACACTGTATATTCTAAAAACATACACGTGCACATGCATATTGACACTGTACATGTACANTTGAACTATGTTTGATTTTTTCATTTCCTGTTTGTAGAACTACTATGGGGCATCTAAGGCCATCTTTTCCGACAATCCCCTGGGTCTGACCTGCGGTATGGTTTGCCCTACCAGTGACCTGTGCGTGGGGGGTTGTAACCTTCACGCTTCGGAAGAGGGTGCCATAAACATCGGTGGGCTGCAGCAGTTTGCCACCGAGGTACGGTGAACACGTCTACACTTTAACCCTAAAACCATAAATGTGTCAGACTTACATGTATTTGAAGCCTACACGTGGTTTCTATATCGATGTACATTTAAAGAAACAAGGAGAGCATCATTGAACAGTCCCTGGAGTAAGGCCGAATTGCATTGTGAAACTGACGCTAATGTAGACATACATACTTGGCACAGTTGAACCATATTCAGTTTTGTTAAACGTTGCCTTATCAAGTCAGGCCTGTAAACTACATGTGCACATGCTGGCATGACCAATGCACAAAAATGCCCCTCTCTGCGACGTCTGTTGAGCGCTGTGTATCAGGCCCATTTTCTTAGTGCAATTGTGAATAAAATAGCATGGGGAAAAAAGATCCCAAACTGACTAGTGAAGGTTTGCAGTAGCGCCATAGGACTACATGTGTCCTGTGTTTGAAATAACTATGGGTGGCTCTGAAGAGAGATTTTCGACTGGAGTGACATTTCCAGTTCATCAGATAAGGTTTCAAGTTGATCCGTCTTAAGTAAGAAGAATCCAGCTTCCTCCAATAAGCATGGATTATATAGTGCATTTTGGAGGACCTGGTAAGGTTCTCTGCTAAAAAAGTCAAGAGAGTTTGAGGTAAAAAACAATGCCTGCTGCCAGTGCGCAGTAATGTCTATGTCTCCCTCCCCCGATTCTTCCCTACAGATCTTCAAGGCTATGAAGATCCCACAGATCCGTGACCCAAACCTGCCCCCACCTGACCAGCTCCCTGAGAGCTACCAGGCCAAGGTGGCGCTGATCGGCTGCGGGCCGGCCAGCATCAGCTGTGCCACCTTCCTGGCCCGCCTGGGCTACAGTGACCTGACCATCTATGAGAGAGAGGACTACATCGGCGGGCTGAGCTCCTCCGAGATCCCACAGTTTCGCCTCAACTACGATGTGGTGGCCTTTGAGGTGGATCTGATGAAGGACCTGGGTGTGAAGGTGAGATGACGGATTCAGTAGGTGCTTAGAGGGCCATAGTAAACAGTGCCAAGAGATGAAATTCAGGTTTCACAGATGACTGACTTGCCATAGACCCACCGCACCAGAAAAGTGCCCCTGAACAAAATTTGCCTCAACCCAAAAGAATTTGCTGTTTCTTTTCTGTCTAAGTGTCTTCAAACACTGTGCCTAATCAAAATGGTTGTGTTTCTAGATGCCCAAACCAACCTAGAATATCGAAAGAAAGGCCATAACTCTACTTAAAATTCATTAGAAATACCACGATACATGTACACGTGTATGGTCCTTCGCAGTTTAAGTTTTCAATATTATTTTTAAGCTGGTTGGCTCGAAAAAAAGGCAGTTTGCTTTTTTTTTTTACCCAGAACCATTTCCTTTCTAAATTCAGACATCTAAACCAGTGAATATCTAGAGGTGATAAGTCTAAATGTATTGAAATTTATCTAGTCCTAATATGTTTTGCTTCAAAAATTCAGCCCCGCCTCCTTTCGCCCACACATTGTCCTTCAACCGACTTTCATTTTGTTGTCAGCATCATACATACAGGAAGTACACTTGTTGTTTGTTTGTCTTTGTATAATGTGAGTGGTTAGAACTCTGACCTTCAATTTAAGGACTGCCTGGCGTCCTTTCTATACCCTGCTGGGTGAATGTGAAAGGGCAGGTGTATCGGACTGTATCCGCCTTGTCTATCCATGAATGGGTGCTTGAATTTAGGGTGCCTTGTGGTGTACAAGAACATGGGTAAACCCACAAAGTCTTTGTTGGTTGATTTTGTGTTACCCCTCTAGCATTTGTCTAGGATTTCACAAAATGGATATCTGGAATTGACTCAGAAAGGAGGAATTTCCTAGCTGTACATGTACAAGTGTACATGTAATTGGATCGTATGAATAAAAAGTGGCAAATTTTGCTTTTACTACCATTTTTAAAGCATTTGCTTGTGTTTGTATGCTAAAAAGTAAAAGTATTTACTTTTTAAGCATGTGCTTGACAATAAGCAGTTGCTTCATTTTGTATGAATAAGTTCTACAGAATTGGACATTTTTCAAGACTAGGTCAGCGCAAGCTTGAAAACGAGGAGCATTTACTAATGTTCAAAATGGCAGTATTCATGAATGTCATTCGAAAGGAAAAAATGTTGCCTTTGGGAGGGAATCTCAAGAAAGCGGATGCAGGTAGTTGTACCGATTTGAGAGTTGCAGAGAAAGTTTCTTCAAGGTTTTTGCGATCAAAATTGCTGCCATCGTGCTTATTTGCCATGCTGAAGTCTCAAGATACAGCACCGTCCAACGTGCAGACAACGGTAAGCCCTATTGGGCAAAACCATTCAGCTGTGGAAGTCAGCCACAAGCATAAAGCATTTAAAAATATTTATACCAGTATCTGCTGAATAGTAAAAGAAACATTTTATTCCTACAAATTCAAGCATTTTGCTTATTCTTAATGGTTTGACTTCTCAGTAAATGCATTTGCTGTTTGCTTGAACTTCATAGCATTTGCTGGATTTTATTCATACGACTTAATTTCGTAAATCGAATTATTTGATATAAGGGCAGTTAGTCCAAACCCAGGGAAAATATTCTGGGTTTTTTTTTTTGTTCTGTTAAGAGTGCTGTTTTTTTTAACAGTGAAGACTGTTTTAAGCTGGAGATTTTTGTTACGGTGTAGTGTTCTTGTTCCTTCTGCGACAGATAATCCTGACCCCAAAAATGTCTTTAAACCTCTTTTATCAGAGAAGGGGGCAACGTCCTGTGGACATGGGTAAGTCCACAGAGTGTCTTCCCCTTCCTGCATCGTGTGGACATCTTTTGTTCACAAGTCTACACTACATATACAAGTAGGTATCTGTTTGAGGTGTGTGTTTGGGTGCAGTCACATTGGTGGGACTCCTGAGTTTGTGAACACTTTTGTGGTTTACTTACAGATTGAACTTGGGAAGGGCCTGGGAGGCAGCGGATTGACGCTGCAGTCACTGAAGGAGTCTGGATACGAGGCAGTCTTCATCGGGATCGGACTGCCAGAGGCAAAACGCATCCCCATTTTTTATGGCCTGACGAAGGAGCAAGGCTTCTACACCTCCAAGGACTACTTACCGCTCGTTGCTAAAGCCAGCAAACCAGGTAGGCTTCACACAGGATGGTTAGAGTATAGCAGAACTAGGCAGGATGGATCTTATCTGCTCTGTGCATTCACTGGGGAAACTTGTGGGAAGGACCAGGTTTTGGCAATTTTGTTTGGCCAAGATCTTTACCCCTTGACGACGGGAATTTCTTTCCGAAAGCCGACTCCAAGAATTCCAGCCTGGCTTAGCCACGAAGGCCACCTGCCAAACCGCAAATTCTCGGTTTGTGGCCCTGCATGCTTTGCACGCTTTGAATTACACAGTGAAAAGGCTGATTGTTCGGTGGCATGCCGCTCTACTCACCCTTCCACATTCCCGTTGGCTCTTTTCAAAGTGGGTACTATTGTGAAGCTGGTGATTATGATGCAAATTCGGTCTTTTCATTTCTGGGCTCCACACAAAGGCCAGTCACCATATACACAAGAGCCAGGGTCTGCCTTCTTTCACCGTGTTCGCTTGAGCATGGGCCGAGAATAATAGCTGAAAAGCGGGCTGAGGATCTCAATTTTTACGGCGGCTCTACCCACGTCTGGCGCGAAGAGGTTAATGGGAATGACTTTACCTGGCCACATTTCAGCCTTGTGCATACGAAATGCATGCAAGTGACATTTTCCCGGAGTTATTGCTCCAGATAGCGCTAAAAAAAGTTGCAGTACCAGTCACTGCATAGTGCAGTTTTAGTGCAAAAAAGTTGCAGTGTGCCAGTCACTGCATAGTGCTGTTTTAGTGCTAAAAAG